ATTGCTCTGTTTCAGGCACATGATGATACCATTTATTTTTTTGCCACTGCCCAGGGGGCAGGCAGTGGCAGCAGCAAAAGGCCAGAGGAGACTGTAAGAAGAAAGGCTGGGTAATCCAGCGGGCCAGGAGGGACCAGAGAGGAGATGTCCAGGGCACCACAAGAGAGAAGGCTGCGAATAACATGGGAAGGGTTTGCAGTTGCTGCATCACCCAGGTCTCTGGAGGAAAACAGAAAATGAAAAGAGACAGAAAGCCAGGAGAAAAAACTGTATTTGAAAGATATTGCTAGTTACAATAGAAATTAAAAAAAAAAAAAACAAACACCTTAAACAGGAAAAGGGGCATACTGTATTCCTGCAACTACTAGGCATTAAGTGACAGTTATTTTCTATAGAAAAGCAGGTGGCGTATGAAACGCAATAGACTTTGTTAATACTGTATCATATACAACTATTTTTCCTTGCTTGCTGCATTTGCTGCACGGGTAAAGCAAGTCAAGCTTTCAATTTCCAATAGAACATTACTGTAACCTTCAGACATAATGCTTTGGGTGATTTTACATCCAGTGTTGTCATTGCTTCACTGTAAATAATAATACTATGGGGAAGAAAACCAGAAAGTTTTGATAAATAATGCCTTTCCTTTCTGAAGTGCTTGTAGATCAGAAAGTGGTTTAAAATTGCATCTCTGAATCAGTTCACCTATTACTGAAATGTAGCCAACTATGAGAGGAAAAGTGGCTGATGACATCTGCGATGATGGCCGTGATGGCCCGGTGCAGCATCCTAGGGCAGCCAGCTGCTGGACCTGGTTGCTACTGCTCATGCTGAAACTTTCCATTTAAACTTTGTTGTTTGGATGGTCTGTCTTTCAACATTCGAAAACATCTCTTTGGGCTGGGAGGCTGGAGTAAAAATATGAAGAGATATGTGGCTGCAAAGGATATGTAGATACCTGGATTGTAAGGTTATCCGGTTAGTGGCTGTTCAACAAGAAGAATAAAACAAGAGACAAGAACACTAATAAATCAAATCCCCAGATACCCAAACCCTAGGGAACAAGAGATACCAGAGGCAATAGCAGAGACCAGGCATGTTGAGGTTCAGCTTGAATGTTGCAGCTTATACAAAAAGGGCAAATAAGGTTATCATGGGTCTCACAGGAAAAAACAAGCTTATGGCATGTTTTAAAGGGATTGTGAGAACATGTGAAATTTATTTTGCGATGTTTAAGGGAAAGGCCAAAGAGAGGGGTCAGAGTGGATCAGGGAGGAACAAGTGTAGGAAAATGGAGAGGCAGGGGCATAAAAGAATCTGGTTGTCTGTCAGGGTGCTTGTTGGGCTGAGCCCCGTGTCTGATTGCTGCAGCATATCCCATCTCTTTACTAAACTGGTAGCTGGTTGATGTGATCTTGCTTTCTGTTCAGTGTTTATAATTTGTGGGGGCAGATGTGATTTGTTAGGGGACTTTGAAAAGACTCCAGGTCCTGGTGCCTGGTGCCTGGGTTAAGGGGCATATAATGTCTGAGCACAGATATTGCACAGAGTTAGCCTGTGCCAGCGTTTGAGGGGTCTGTAAATACTGGTGTGTTTGTGGATCACACAAGTGATGGTGTGTGCATGTTTCACTAGCAGTCTTCCGTCCTCATCAGCTGGGCAGGAGAAGGCGGATCATCTATTTGTGTTTGTGACTGCTGTGTGGGTGCTGCTAATGACACTGCTGTCTACAAGGGGCTGTGTGTGCCTTGGCACCTCCAGAGTTCACACGCGGGGCTTACTGCCAGCTGGACCTGCAGATGGGAGCAGCACCAGTGGCGCCTATTGGGATGGGATAGGAGGAGCCTCCTGGGTCTGCGCATGCACCAAATGCAGCTCTCATAGATGGTGCAGAGGAATCCACTGGGATGGAAACCCTCCAATTCTGCTCTCTGTAATAAGTGATACTAGTTACAGCAAGCAGAAGAAAGTTTTACCAAAATCACAGATCCTGTTTTCTAGAGCAGCCATCTTCCCACATAATTTAGGAAATCTGAGGACATCTGAAACTAGGGTGCTGTGAGTTGAAATCTGCTATATTTGCAAATCCTTAGTAGGTAAGACTAAAGTGCTCCACAAATGAAGCATTAAATGGTGCTGTATTTTTAAACTTGCAAAGACTTTCAAATACTGTGAGCAGTAATTTTTGCATTCTAACTCGTTTGACTCCTTGCTCTCCCTAGGGGAAATGGAAGAGTTAGAAACCCTGTGGCTGACTGGTATTTGCCACAACGAGAAGAATGAAGTCATGAGCAGCCAGCTGGACATTGACAACATGGCAGGAGTGTTTTACATGCTTGCAGCAGCCATGGCACTGAGTTTAATAACCTTTGTCTGGGAACACTTATTTTACTGGAAACTTAGATTCTGCTTCACTGGAGTCTGCTCAGATAGGCCAGGACTGTTGTTCTCAATCAGCAGGGTTAGTATTACTTTCATTTTCCCCCTTCAGGTAACAGACAGAATAAGCGCTACCTCTCTAAAATACTTCCTTTGCTTTTATTCCCACTTGGACATTTGAAATACATGTTAGAACATCAGTGTGATGCTGTAGAGTGGTCAGTGGTCAGTACTTGCACTCCATAGAAAATCTTTTCTCCATTGGATTATTCTAGGATATGAATTACTATATGCCGGAACTATCAGTAATCAAATGCTGGAAACTAATACATTTATGGGAAATTTTGATAAAGAAATGGTGAGCTGCTCAGATACAGGAAATGGATTAATTTCCGAAAAAAAATCCGAACAAAATAAGCACTAAATCAATGACAGACATTAGCTCTCAGTTTTGTGTATTTCTTGAACAAGTGGATTTTAAGTGATAAAAATATACTGGAATACTTGTTACAAGCTTTTCTTGATAGCAGTCTTTAATAAACCATATGAGAACAGGTCAAACACAAGTGTAGTTTATGTTTAGTTAGATACTAAGACAGGTTTTAACGATAACTTTACTAAACCCAAAGTAGATTTACATATCTAAATAACATACTTGTAATAAAATAAAGTAAGTATGTGCTTGTTCTTATATTTCTGACAAATGACTTCGGTTTTTCCTTTTAATTTTTTTTAAACACATAGTACTTTCATTAGGTAATTGACTTTGCTGGATTTTTTTTTTATACAGCCGAGGAGAATTGAAGATGATGCTAAAATGCCTAATTGCTTTAAAATGTGCTGAAATTACCCTATTGAGAAAATTGGACTGTGTTGGAACGCCATTAAAAATACTCTCCTATGTTGTTGGGGATTGTGTAGAAGAGCATATACACTTTAACCTCCACATCTTACATTTGAACTTTATGCTTTTGGCCTTTTACATGTGAAACTCTCCTAACTTATGGGGGGGAAAAAAAGTACCTATTTCAAAGGCAAATTTCTGAGAATTACAAGTTCACAGGGTCAGAAATGTCAACTGAGCTCACAGGAGTGACTGAAGAGGTTAGAGTTAAAAGATAGACTTTAGCCTTCTGCTTAAAATGAACTCAAATTCAGGCTTTAGACATGGGAATTTTTCATATGTACTAGGATAGGATACAGAAAAGCTAAAATACCATGACTAGAAACCTTTTTATTTCAGTGAAATTGAAGAGTACCTTAACCTCTAAGAAAACAGCCTGACTGCAGGCTTCTGTAGAAGGATAAGTTAATCATGGGTTTAAAATAATAGTTTCCATTACTGAAGGTTAGTTACATTTTGTGATGGGACCAGGCAACATTTTGGGGTACCTTCTAATCTTGTTTTTGAGAATAAGCATCAAAGGCCAATGCAGACTGTTGGTTTTGTAAAATACTGGCAATTTTTCTCCTTTACAGGGCCAACAGATATGGCAGAATTTATTCTCCCATATCAATGTAAGGAAACACTACAAGATTAGATATGTACTTTTAATCTTTCCAGTCATTAGATAAGCAATCTTTAATTGCTTTTTATTGTTAATAAAAAATAGAATGGAAGTATTTAAAATTTACACCTAGCAATTTAATTTGTTTTATATTACTCATATTACAGGGTATTTACAGCTGCATTCATGGAGTACACATTGAAGAAAAAAAGAAGTCTCCTGACTTTACTTTGACCAATTCCCAAACCAACATGTTAAAACTGCTGCGCACAGCGAAAAATATGACCAATATCAATCCTTCAAGAATTAACTCCCCCAAAAGAACAGCTGATTTTATTCAGAGGGGTTCCTTGATTATGGATATGGTCATAGATAAGGGAAACATGATATTTTCTGATAACAGATCCTTTCAAACAAAGGACAACTTTTTTGGTGAAAACCTGAGTGAACTGCAGACACTTCCGGGCAATCGACACAAGGACAATCTTAACAACTATGTTTTCCAAGGTCAGCATCCTCTCACACTGAATGAGTCCAATCCAAATACAGTAGAGGTTGCAGTAACAACAGAAGCAAAAGTGAACTCCAGACCCAGGCAGCTTTGGAGGAAATCAGTTGAATCTTTACGTCAAGAATCTGTACGTCAGAGCCAAGGTTCCCAGAGAGAAAATGGGTCAGATGAAAACAGGCAGCTTTCAGTGAAAAGCCAAAGATACCTTCCTGAAGAGATTGTCCATTCAGATGTATCAGAGACATCAAGCCGGGCTACTTGCCATATGGAACCTGAAAACAACAAGCACCACAAAACCAAGGACAATTTTAAAAAAAGGACAGTAGCATCAAAATACCCAAAAGACTGTAGTGAAGTGGAACTGACATATCTGAAAACCAAACAGAGCTCTCCACGGGATAAAATCTACACAATTGATGCTGACAAGGAGCCAGGATTCCGCTTGGACACACCTCAGTACATTGAAAACCTTGTCCTTCCAGAAACTATAGAGTTTCCTGATGTTTATCAAGATCACAATGACAACTATAGGAAAGCAGAACATGCTAACAGGACTCCCTTGCATAATGAAGACAGTCTTCCAAATAATGACCAGTATAAACTTTATGCAAAGCACTACACTTTAAAAGATAAAAATGCTTCCCTAGTTGACATGAACGATAGATACAGACAGAATTCCACCCACTGCAGGAGCTGTCTTTCCAATTTGCCCACTTATGCGGGACACTATTCAAGCAGATCTCCCTATAAATGTGACGCATGCTTGCGGATGGGGAACCTCTATGATATTGAAGAAGATCAGATGCTGCAGGACACAACGAACTTATCACTTCCTGAAGAAATATATGAGCGTAGTTGGTCACAAAATAATGCTCTGCAATATCATAAAAAAAATAAGTTGAGGATTAGCAGGCAACATTCTTTTGATAATATCGCTGATAAATCCAGGGAAATTGATATTGGAAGACCTTCTCGTAGTATAAGCTTGAAAGAAAGAGAGAAATTTCTACAAAGTAGTCCATATGCAAGCATGTTTAGTGTTCCCTCAAGCAAACTGTTGAGCAACAAGGCCTCACTTTTAACTCATGCTCTAGAGGACAGTAAGCGGAGCAAGTCCCTGTATCCCATTCACTCAGATGATAATCCCTTCCTGCACTCCTATCATGATGACCAGCACTTATCTCTTAGGCGAAGTCCAGCTGATCTTTACAAACTTTCATTGCCAACAAGAGGAAGAAATGATAATTATTTAAGGTCATCCATAAAGTCTACAGCATCATACTGTTCCAGGGATGGTCGGATCCATAATGACATGTACATTTCAGAGCATGTTTTGCCTTACGTTGCAAATAGGAATAGCTTGTACTCAACTCCAAGGGTTTTAAATTCCTGTAGCAATAGACGTGTGCATAAGAAAATGCCTAGCATTGAATCAGATGTTTAAATTTTCCACTAACATTTTATCTATAGGGAAAAAATAGTTGCCACCATCTTAGAGGGAGAATTTATCCTTTAACAGTATCCTGCTATGGTAAATGATATGTAAACCTCTCCCTTTCCCGGTGTACTTTTGTACATGAATAGGTAAACTAGTATGCTCTTAACTATCCTTTTAAAATATGTCTTGTTGAAAAGGATAAAAAATAGCCATTTATGTGTGCTTTATATGTAAATGGCAAGCTGTACTGAAATAGCCCCAATATATGTTGGCAACTATCCTGTTTTGTATCTAATTATTTTACTATTTCGGTTATTCTAATTTATGTTGCTAAGTATCATTCAATGTACTTTTGTCCTTAGAAATGTTTAATGATTTTCTAGTACTGGATAAGCAATACGGTATGCATGTAGTATGACACAGACAAAAAGAATTAGGAATGCATTTGCACAGTTTCAAAAGTAAGACTCTAAAAGAGAACAGAAAGCTAGACTTTCAAAATTATATTTTATCTTCATAATCATTTTCAAAGCCAAATAATAATAAGAAAAAAAAAAGAAAAAATAACAAACCCCGGGACCTTAATAAATAAAATACAGTGTGTTAACACAAAATTAGTATATTCATTCTAGACTGACAGAAAAGAAATGGGAAGGCTGTAGGCCCAAACATGTGAACTGCTGTGTACCAAGGGGAAGCTCCATGGATATTGGATAATGTTAATGTACAAATGCTTTTCTTCTATTTCACATGCACTTACCATTACAAACTAAGTTCACTGAGAAGTCTGCAGTCATCTTGTCAGAAATTTCACAGCTGCCTAATCCAGAGTATATATTTTTAGATATCACTATATGGCACTTACTATGGAGCTGTGGACTTTATTAGTAACATTGAGGCCTAATGTGTACCTAAGTTTGCATTTGCCCCTTACTGGTGGTTACTCAGGGCTGTATAGTATTTCTTTTATTCCTTCACTTCCCAAACCAAATCCCACCCCACTGTAGTTCTTTGTTCATAGTGTATTAGTGACATCTAATTAACTGTATGTTAATAGTATTAAAGCTGTTAATGCAGTATCAAACACCGACAGCCATACGTTCAGTGTAATCAGTGAGGAGCGCAATACCATTTCTTGGCATACACAGGGAAGGATTAACACCTTTTGAGGGACTTCTTCCTTCCAGAATATTGTGCATATTGTTGAACATCAGACCTTTTTTTTTAACCTCTCTGATCAAGTCTGGTATATAAATTGAACACATAACTAAGGAACAGTATCTTTATTATCACTTACTGGTATACAAAGATATTCACATAACAAGGATGCATTGTTATATGACTTTTAGTAAAGATCAAACAGATTATTTCACAAACAAAATGTCTGCTACACACCCATCCTCAACCCCATTGGAAAAAAACAAAAAACCAAAGCACTAGATTTTAACTATAAGGGAGTGTGGAAGGGAAGAGAGGAAGTTTTTAATGAGTGAACAGCTGTACATTTAATTTAAATTAAAGAAGTAAATATGATTGCTAATATATTTAAATACCGAAAGCATTCAACAGGTGCTGCTCTCCCATTCTGCTGCTGCTCTGAGAATTGCTTTAGGTTTTTTGTGTAGAGGAAGTTTAGATTATTCAAGCATTATCCCTTACATTTCACTGAAGAACAATGAGCAGGGAAACCATTACCACTGTGAACTGGAAAATGTGAATATTACCCTAACTTTTCTCTAAACTGAAGCTGTTTTCAATAGAATCATGCCTGTCAGTTGTAACTGTAGTATCTGCATGCCAGAGGTACAGCATGCAAGGTGTTTAATTTGGAATAGCATACTGGAGAGCAGAGTTGTAAATGGGAGATAATATAAACTATAACAGGGGTGGATAAAATATAGCTTCTTGAATTTTATTTACAATTTTTTTGCTAAGCAGATTTAAGCTGACTTTAACTACCAAACAGTGCAGAATGAGTTCTTTGAATTTACAAATGTATTTGTATGTTCACCATGGTGGTAAAGAATGATATTTTTGAAGGAATGAAATGTTATGTAATTTGGGCTTCCATAAATCTCAGTATACTTTATTATAAGTATATATGTCCAGAAAGCATATCTATGAGTATCTGTATGCTGTCCAAAGCAAATATGTTTTGAGTATTCTTTATTCAACATTTGGTCACAGTTATTGGCCCTGATTCACATGGTGTGCTTTCTGGTTTGTCACTGGATGTGGTTTTTACAAACAGAAAATCCTTTCCTGCCCTTAGAGAGATTCACGTTTCTTAGGAACAGTTGTATGAGCCAAGCAGGGCTGGGGTGTTTATGGGATGAACACTGCTTTTCATGAACCAAAACCTTTTCCCAAAGACATGGGTGTGCTATTTGTCTTAGGTCTACAGGAAGGCAAATGCACTAAAGGCATAAATATTGTTGTAACAAGTTTAATTAAAATATTTCAGGCAAATTTTAATTTCCAATCCAAATCATAATATATTAAGTAAAATCTTAAGTATTTGGAAATACCTGGTGTGTTCCAGAAAGTATGGTATTTACTGATAGCGTACCAAAACCTGCCATGCAAGTCACTGAGAATTTTACCAAGTGAATCATTAAACTCAGTGTTGGCTCTTGGATTTCACATCATCTTAAAGCTCCCAAAATATTTGCTGATTGCTCCAAGTCTTTTGTATCATCATCTCTATCTAACTAGGTACATATAATTCAATATATAGACAAGCACTCTATGTGAAGTTGTGGGGAAAAAAATCCCATTTACAACGTTTTCTAAGTAAACTGTTGAGATGCAAATGTAAACATCATAAACCCAGGTGGATTTATCCTTCTGTGAAATGTACGAGCAAATTAGCTATAAAGAAATATATTGCAGTGTTTCCTTTTTCAGATTTGAGCAGATTTCTGGTGACTGTAGAGATTCATTGTTATTAGCTGTAAATATGCAATACAGCCACCTCCCCTAAACCAAAACAAATTAAAGAGACCAAGGGAAGACTTGATAATGTTGCACAGCAGTTGTTCACATGGAAATAAAAGATGCTGCCTTAAAGGGGAAAAAAAGATAAAACACAGATATTGAATGTAGAGGGAATAAGAATCTGCATGCATTGGTGATTTGATCTTGGCATATAATACAAGTGAAGAAAGGGGGAAGAAAAGGCTAAGGTGTAGGCGAGTAGCTGGTGTGGTTGCCAATGTATATGTGTAAAGAAGAAGCAGCTGAGAAGTTGAAGAAAAATCTTCAACAGTAGAGCCACAAGCCACAGCTTGTGAGGCTCAGCCGTAGGACGTGTGGAATTCTGAGTTTTGCCTGAGCTTTGTTGATATATTTGCACTGACTTTCAATTAAACCAAGATCAAGACTTTCTGTATTTCCCTCTCTCTCACTCTAGCTGCTGCTATTCTTGAAGAGGAGAAAAGAATCTTCCTGCATAAGTGGCCATCCTTTCTGTACCTTTCTGGATGGTGCTGGTGACTTGTTACATTTTCCTGATTACAGCTCTAGCAGTTTGTTGGTCATTCCTATCACCGATTTCCCGTGACTCCAGCTGGAACTGGATCAGGCTGTAAATGATATGGGCCATTCTTGGTAGCATGTCCTGTAGTGTTACACTGCTCCTGGACGACAACTTTTATGGAGGCAGGATATTGAATTGCTGAGGAATGAGTAGGTACACGGAGGTAAAACCAGCTACATAGACATACCTGCCTCTTGCTTTTTTCCACTTTTAAAGACATTGTAGAATTTCTTCATGTTTTTGTCTTTCCCTTTTCACCACAGTTAATTTTCCTTTTTCCTTTCAAATGGATTTTGTGTTCTGCTTGTATTTCTTAGAGCAGTGTAGCCACCCACTGACTTAAATGCATGGAAATAAGATATTTTAATATATAAGATAATGTTAAGGAAAATTAAGAGTTTTGTATTTCTGGAAAATTTCTTTTAATGTTTTTGCTACTCTTACTCAGAATCCGTTATTATGCTACCTTAGAAGCTTGATTAGGAGAAAGAGTGCTGTGGACTAACAGAAACCAAATCACCGCCAGCTCACCATGTTTTGGCAACATCTCATAAATACATGTCTCTCTCTCTATGATCTTTCAGGAACACTTAGGAGGTGAAATAAGGTTCACAAGGGAAATCAGGAGTGGTTTGGGCTTTTTTTCCTCATAAAAATACATCTTTTTACATAGTTTTAATGGAAGCAAAAGCTAGAGCTGTATGCATAGCTTTGGGTTTCTGTGCTGGAAGGCTAAGCTCTTTCTGTTGCCAGTGGGGAGAGAGAGAGAGAAAGAAAGCTCCCTCTGGATGGTAGTTCAGAGCATTGAAGGCTTGGAAGCAGTTATGGATGTGATGGGTCCTGAAAGATTTTACCTCTCTCTGTTGACTTGTTAGAAAGTGTAGGCTCCTAACTTGGCCATCTCAGTTAGGTGGGCTTAGAAAGGTAATGGTCTATTTATCCCCAGCCTCAAAAATCTTCTAGTTAAATCTGCCATCAGTACCAAGTTAAACTTTGCAGGTGCATATAGGATCCTGTGCTTATGTGAGTAGTTACCAAGGTAGCCCTCGTCAGGTGTGGGTTTTGCAGGTGACTATCCCGCATGAAATAAGTGTCAGAATCTATTCCTTGTATAATAACCTGCTGTTTTCATATTTCTGCAGTGTAGCATATGCATCTTAGTGATGGGGAAGATTTTGGTACTCTTCCTTCCCTTGCATCAGCACAGAACAGGAATTGTGGTATGAATCTAAGGGCTAAGAGTCAGCTGGGATTTAGGAAGGATTCAAGAGGTGAATCTTTTTGTTGTTTTACATTACATTTAAGATGTTTGATATATAAACCCTGAGTGATCTTTTATGGCAAAAACCTCTCAGTTAATAGAGAACAGTAACCATCCTGTGGCTTGGCTAGATTGTGTTAAGTGTTAATCATCACATCATGTGCTTCTTTCAAGATGCAGTGTCTTACGTTCCGCTGCTAAACTTTC